TTGGTTGTTTCGGCACCTACAGTTGTTGTCTCTTGATTGGCGATGGTAGTTGTATCCTCCTTTTTGGTTTTGTCTTTTGTTGTTTCGGTAGCTACAGTTGTCGTTTCTTGATTGGCGATGGTAGTTGTATCCTCCTTTTTGGTGTTGTCCTTGGTTGTTTCGGCACCTACAGTTGTTGTCTCTTGATTGGCGATGGTAGTTGTATCCTCCTTTTTGGTTTTGTCTTTGGTTGTTTCGGCAGCTGCGGTTGTGGTTTCTATATTGGGAATGGTAGTAGTATCCGCCTTTTTGGTGTTGTCCTTGGTTGTTTCAGCAGCTACAGTTGTTGTCTCTTGATTGGGAATGGTAGTTGTATCCGCCTTTTTGGTATTGTCTTTTGTAGTCACGTCAGCTGCGGTTGTAGTTTGTTGTATGGGAGCGGCAGTTGTATCCGTCTTTTTGCCATTGTCTTTTGTTGTATCGGCAGCTGCGGTTGTGGTTTCTAGATTGGGAATTGTAGTAGTATCCGTCTTTTTGCCATTGTCTTTGGTTGTATCGGCAGCTGCGGCTGTAGTTTGTTGAATAGGAGCGGCAGTTGTATCCGTCTTTTTGCCATTGCCATTGTCTTTGGTTGTATCGGCAGCAGCGGCTGTAGTTTGTTGAATAGGAGCGGCAGTTGTATCGGCAGCTGCGGCTGTAGTTTGTTGAATGGGAGCGGCTGTTGTATCCGTCTTTTTTCCATTTCCATTGTCTTTGGTTGTATCGGCAGCTGCGGCTGTAGTTTGTTGAATGGGAGCCGCTGTAGTTTGTTGAATCGGAGCCGCTGTAGTTTGTTGAATGGGATCCGCTGTTGTATCCTTTTTGGTATTGGCTGCAGATGCACCTTCCAAAATTGAAGTGCAAACTAGGAAGATGATGCACAATAAAAAGAAATTTTTCGACATCATGGTTGGCAGATTACGTCAACCACTTGTCTTCAAGAAGAAATATTGAATATTGCGAATTGCAATCTGAAAAAAAAAAAAATCGTTTTTTTTACGATATTTTAGTGCTTTATGTATTTTATGAGAGGTAGCACAGCTTGAATTTGAACTATTTGACAACAGTATACAACATCTGCATTGCACGATGTAATTCAACAGATTTTTTTGCTTTTTTTTTTTCAAAGGGTACAAGTCCACTTGTATAAACATATGTAACAAGTGCCCCTGCAGATTTTTCAAAATAAAGATCAAGTTGATAAATGTCAATAAGAGATCTGAGGGTCTTTGTCGAGTCTCTCAAGTCGTTCGAACTTAGTTTATGTTCACGTAATAATTTCTTTATAATGGACAAAAAAAAACACGGTCTTTTTTAACCGAGTATATACTGTAACTTGCAAATGTAAATTCTATCGAATCAAGATCTATCGATGCTTATATAAGTCAAACAAAGTAATAACCTAACCTGATTTGAAAAACAGATGTACAAACCACACACTAAAAATATACCTCTATTATTGCACCGTTTATACCTCTTAGAGAAATGCATTTAATTCGTGATACGTACTGATTCGTTGCAATAATAAATATACTGAAATAAGCGTACTTTTTAAAACAAATATGTCTTGACTGGATTTTAACAAATTTTATTTTAGACAATAAATCGTGAGTAGAATATTATTATTTTTAACAAAATATATGGTTATTTAATTAAGTAAAATAAAATTAGAAGTGTAAAATTGATCAAAAAATTTTTACCGTTAAATGTTCGAAAGGTCCTGTGTATCGTATTGGATAAGCACAAAACATTCGTTTACAATTGTTGTGAAATAATTGAAACCATTTTTCCAAAAACAATTGTAACCGACATGCGCATGGTCACTATCAATGAAAATTTCCATTTTAAAAAAAGGAATATGATTTCTGAATGGAATCATTAGTTGTCACACGTTTCATTAATTTGTTTTTAACTTCAAGATAGGACAGGGATTGCGGATCATCTTGTTATGAACTCAATTATCTCGAATCTTCACATCATATTTGTATTGTTTGTCGCACGAATTTTATGACTCAAGATTTCCGGATTAAAAAACGTTTAACCATATATATATTATTGACAAATTAATTAGGCTCACGATCTTCCAAAATCTAACTTAAAGAATAAAATTAGAAATTGAATTATACTATGAAAAAGTCATGCGAGTAAATGTAATCCTAATCTATGCGACCACGGATCATATATCAAAATTATGTAGCCAAGATACACATATTAACGTTAACTTTTTTATTGGATGATGTTCCGACCATATTTGTGTACCCAAAAAACAATCAATATGCGAACAAACCAAGTAATAATCATTATTTTAAGAATCGATTGCACTTTTTATTTTTTTTCTCAAAAAATTTTAGACATGTATTAATATGTTATAGTTTATTACAATTTTGCGCGCAGTTTTTTTATTTTATACGATTCAATATATTTAAGTTGAATTGACAGTGATCTATACTTCCAAGTCGAAAATTTGTCTCTAAGCATTGTTTTGATTGCTTGTTTTTTTATTATTCGATATATTCTATCTTATAATGCAGAACTGTATTTTAATTGGCTAGATATCGTGTAACATAAAAAATTTTATAGGCCATTCTATTTAAGATAAGTCTTGGCAAATGTTCCTTACGAAATACTGTAGCATAACCTGTCAAAATTCGAAGTTTACAGTTTTTATGTTGCACATTCTAAAAAATTTCCATACTTCTGGTTTTTCGAATAGGTATGGCAATTACGTTCTAACTCTTATGAGATTTTGATCTACTAGTTCTGAATAATGTACTTGCTAACTTTCTCTCTGCTAAATTTTTTCCGGATATATTTATTTTTCTGCTAGAAATGACAAGCTTCGATTTTTCATCAGTCGCATTAAAGAAATCATAAGTACTGTATATTGAACACCAGAGCAACGCAATGTGAGATTATTTAAGGTTTGAATTTCATTGAACTTTATTTGAATGATTGCGAGAATACAATGGTCTTTCTCTTTTTATAAAGATAGAAGTAATAGGAATAGGTAGAAATGGATAAACGTAGAGGAATTACATTTAAGAATTTTTTTTTCTTTAAGAAATTCCATCAGATAAGTGGGAAGTTGAAACAGGAACTAGTGAGTAAGCCTGGGATACGCTCCGGGATTAATAAAATTAGTTTATTTTATTAATTTTATTATGTTAAATTATAAATATGTTATATTATTATAAATTATAATAAATAAATATAAAAAAAATCTTAATTTAATTAATCTATAATAAATAAATTAGATATAATTATTTTTAATATATCAATCTGTAAAATAAAGCCAAAAAATAATTAAAAAATAAATTATTCACAATTATTTAATATACTAGGTAAATGGGAACCATTTAAAGTCCGAAGGACTATTACTAGCACATGCAACAACATCCCCTATTCATACATTCCTTGGTGCCTTCTTCATTCTCTATTATTTAAATCAGCCTATACAGTAAATACACGATCGTATAGTTTCCCGCACTCATCACACTACCATCGCTACCATGCCAAAGATTTTTGTCACGTTGCGAAAATACATCATGTAATCTTGATCCAAAATCCAACTCCTAATTGTCTGAAGAACATTAATTGCATTAACTGTAAACGAGTTATACTATATAATAAAAAACTCCGTTAAATTGATATGCCGCTATCATTTATGTATCATATGATCGGAAGGTACACATATCCGGATCACTATTGCGTACATTAGTGTCCTTTGGACAATTACTTTAGATTTATTCAAAGCTTTAATCCACTTTATTTTTTTCTTTCTAATAAATCTTAAATGTTTTGCAAATCAATAATACTAATTTCTCAAAAGATCTATATATAAGTTCAATTTTATTAGTTGCTAAATACATAAAATATTTAATATAATACTTTTGTTAATAAAATTTTCTGTTTTATTTATTATTAATTTGTTTCTTATGTAAAAAACAAAAGATAAATCTTAATTCTCAACAAATATTAATATTGATTATTGTGCCTTTCTTATAATTTCTTAAAGGTTTTAATTTATAGCAGAAATTTTACAAAGTTTTCTTGTTCAGCTTTGAATTTTTAATACCTTTTGTATATAAGAAAAATAATAAAATGTTTTTTTGACAAATTCTTTAATAATTGTTAAATATAAATATCTTATTCAAAAAAATATTTTGTTTTTTTATCTTATAAATAAATACAATTTTAATAAATAATATAAAATCTTAATTAAATTGTTAATTAAAATTAATATTTTTAAAAAATATCTTATTAATGATTAAACTTTTTAATAAATTGTCAAATAACATTAATTTATTAATTATTATATATTTGATTTATTAACAATAACATATATAAATATTTTACAAGCCAAAGATATATTTTAAAATACTGTCTGTTTTATTAAATATACATACTTGAAATTTGATTTGTTTGAATATTTATTTGTTAATTATTTAATTTTTAAAATAAAAATTGTTATTAATTAATTATAATTATTATATTAAAATTTAATAATTATAAATTAAATATTATTTAAAATCTATTATTATTATTTTATTATTTATTAATTTTAAAACTTTATGTAATATTAAAAATTTGATTATTTTTTTATTTTTTAATTTAAGTTCTGATTTAAATTTAATAAATATTTTGATATTGTTATTATTATTTATAAAAAAACAATTAAATTTTATTTATTTATTTGTTTTTGATTATTTAACATAAAACCTATTTAATTATACTTTTATTAGTTTATGTTTTACAAAGTTTAGATTTTGTTATATTAACTTTACATATACTGTATAATAAATATTATCTAATATTACTATTTAATAACTTATTATTAAAACTTATTACTTATTTCATTGAATATAAATTATAAAAATTATATACTGATAATATTAAATATTGTATATATAATATTTGTTAAAAAGTATATATTTCTATATCGACTTTATAGAAGTCATTATAATACTAAAATATGATTCTATACAACTATAAAATTTTAAAAATCTGAAAATACAAAATCTTATTATAAGATAATTTAATTTTTATGCAAATAATAGAATAAAAATATGCAGCAATTAAATTTAAACTTTTTTTATAAGTTTTAAGTTTGGAGTTTTTTAATAATGTTTTTTTATGAGTTTTTTTTTTTTAATGTTTTAATTTTTTCAAAAGAGGTTTTTTATCAATTATATTTTTTTTTATCAGTTTTGCTTTTTTTTTCAGTTTTCAAATTTCTTTTTTATATTTGGGTTTTTTTTCAGTTTAATTAAAATAGAATGTTTTTATGTTAAATTAATTATATTATTAAAGTTTAATTTAATTTTATTTAATAAAAATATTAAGTTTAATTTAATTAAATATAGAGTTTAAACTTAATTAAAATGTAGAGCTTAATTAAAATTAATTTAATTAAAATATAAAGTTTAAAATTAATTTAATAAAAATGTAAAGTTTAAAATTGATTTAATTAAAATATAGAATTAAATTAATTAAAATACAGAGTTTAATTAACTAAAATATATAGTTTAATTTGATTTAATTAAATTAAAATGTAGAGTTTTAATTAATTTAATTAAAATATAAAGTTTAATTAATTAAAATACAGAGTTTAATTTAATTTAAAATGTAGAGTTTAATTAATTAAAATATAAAGTTTAAATTTATTTTTAATTAAAATATAGAGTTTAAATTTAATTTAATTAAAATATAAAGTTTAATTTAAATTAATTTATTAAAATATAGAGTTTAAATTTAATTTAAATTTAATTAAATTAAAATATAGAGATTAAATTGTATTTAATAAAAATATAAAGTTTAATTTAAATTAATTTATTAAATATAGAGTTTAATTTAAATTAATTAATATAAAATTTATAATAAATTACATATATAGAGTTTAATTTAT